AAAAGCTACTTTGGGCTTCTCAAGGATTACTTTGGTCAACGTGCTGTGGAAGATCTAAGTTGGGCTACTCGCGGACTACTTTGGTGAGTGTGCTGTGGAAGGGCTAAGCTACTCAGGGACCACTTTGGTGAGTGTGCTGTGGAAAAGCTAAGTTGGGCTACTCAGAGACCACTTCGTGAGTGTGCTATAGAAGAGCTAAGTTGGGGGACCGGGCGTACTGAAGTCCGAAGTTCTAAAAACCTAACAACCGACAGGCCTACGGGTGAGAAAAACGCAGCTTTTGTTGGCTTGATAAGTACATTGCAACTCTACAACTACCTTGGAATCACTTTGGTAAATGTGCTGTGGAGAAGCTAAGTTGCGCTACTAAGAACTGTGGTTGCTGTGGAAGAGCTAAGATGAGCTACTTAGAAATCAGTTTGTGAATTTGCTGTGGAAAAGCCAGGTTTAGCTACTCAGGGATCAGATTGGTGAATGTGGTGTCAATACTTAGAGGTCATTTTGGTGAATGTGCTGTGGAAGTGCTACGTTGAACTACTCAGGGATTACTTTGGTGAACAAGGATCAGTTTGGCGAGCGTGCTGTGGAAGAGTTAAGTTGAACTAGTCAGAGATTACTTTTGTGAGTGTGCTGTCAAAGAGCTACGTTGAACTACTCAGGGATTACTTTGGTGAACAGGGACCACTTTGGTGAGTGCGCTGTGGGCTACTCAGGGACCACTTTGGCCAGTGTGCTGTGGAAGAGCTAAGTTGCGCTACTCAGGGGCCACTTTGGCCAGTGTGCTGTGGAAGAGCCAAGTTGCGCTACTCAGGGGCCACTTTGGCCAGCGTGCTGTGGAAGAGCTAAGCTGGGCTACTTAGGGACCACTTTGGCCAGTGTGCTGTGGAAGAGCTACTTTGGGCTACTCAGGGACCACTTTGGCCAGTGTGCTGTGGAAGAGCTAAGTTGCGCTACTCAGGGATCACTTTGGCCAGTGTGCTGTGGAAGAGCTAAATTGCGCTACTCAGGGAACACTTTGGCCAGTGTGCTATGGAAGATCTAATTTGGGCTACTCAGGGACCACTTTGGTGAGTGTGCTGTGGAAGAGCTAAGTTGGGCTACTCAGGGACCACTTTGGCCAGTGTGCTGTGGAAAAGCTAAGTT